GTGTGTGGGTGAGAGAGAAGTGTGTGTGTGTGTGTGTGTGTGTGTGTGTGTGTGTGTGTGTGTGTGTGTGTGGTAGGATTCCATGTAGTCCAGGCTGGCCTGGAATTCTCTATGTGGCTTGAGCTTCTGATCTTCCTACCTCTCTCTTTCAAGTGTTAGGGCCAAAGGCATTTATCACCATGCCATCACACCTAGTTTAATCCAGCATCTGGGACTGAACCCAGCATTTTGTGTGTGCTAGCCAAGTTCTCTGTCAACTGGGCTATATCCCAGTCCAAATTTTCCTATTTTAAATAATTGTTTCTTCTTGTTTTGGAGTCCCAAGAGTTTATTACCTATCCCTCCCTTCATTTGTATGTATGTATGTAGTAGATGGGGCCTCACTATATAGAAAGCATGATAATCTGAGTTCAAATTCTCAACATGCATGTAAAAATCTGGGCCTGGCCACACATGCGTATAACTCCAGCCATGGCAGGAGAGACAAGCTGGTAGCCCACCAGCAAGGAAATGAGACAGAGAACAACAGAGGAAGAGACCCAACATTCTCCTCTCAACATTTGGCCTCTGCCTGTGCCCACATGGGGACATGTACCCATAAACTCACATGCATCTAACATACCTATATACCACACACATATACAATATGTACACAAAATACTTGCCTAAAAATAAAAAACAAAAATTAAAGATAAGTATTTAAAAAGAGCACACATATATACAGGCAAACATTCATACACATCAAATAAAACAATAAATCTAAAAAAAAATAGTTGACAACAACAACAAAAAGATACCAAGGAGTGGTGCCTGTAGCACTCCTGAACTAGAGTCTGATGCTACTACCATGTTGCTCAGTGGGAATGTTTATTATAACCATCTGTATCATGTCTGTGGCCGATAAATAAAGACTATGACCAGGTAGGAATGGAGGACTGCCAAGCACCTGTCATCTGGCTCTTCCCTGACTTTATTTGGAAAAATACAGTCAATAAGACAATCAGGCAGGAGGTGGACACCTTTAATCCCAGCACTCAGGAGGCAGAGGCAGGTGGATCTTTGTGAGTTGGAGGCCAGCCTGGTCTACAGAGCGAGTTCCAGGACAGCCAGGGCTCTGTCAGGACTTCATGACGTCCTCTGCTTTTCTTTTCTGGGGAATTGATTTTCAAGAAGAAAAAGGAAGAGGTCAAGAAGAGGGAGAGGCGCGTGTGTGTGTGTGTGTGTGTGTGTGTGTGTGTGTGTGTGTGTGTGTATGTGTGTGTGCATTTGTGCATTTATGTTCTTTCATGAGCACTGAGTCATGAAGTTAACACTAGATGTTTACATTGATCAATCTCCACTTTATTTATTGAGGCAGTGTCTCTCAATGAACCCAGAGTTTGCCAATTCTGGTTAGTCTAGCTAGGTAGATTGCTGGGAGAAGGGGGGTCCCCGTCTCTCCCCAATGCTTGGATATAGGTGGTGACCATGCCTATTGGCTTTTGCATGGGTTCAGGGGCAAAAGCTTTCCTCACTGAGCTACCTATCATCTCCCCACCCTCTTCTTTTTTAAAGGTTTATTTATTATATAGTGTTCTGTCTGCATGTATGCCTGCAGGCCAGAAGAGGGCACCAGATCCCACTACAGATGGTTGTAAGACACCATGTGGGTGTTGGGAATTGAACTCAGGACCTCTGGAAGAACAGCCTGCGCTCTTAATCTCTGGGCCACCTCTCCAACCCCCTCTTCTTCTTTATGTTTTTATTTGCTTATTTATTTTTGCTGTGCTGTTTTGTTTCTACTATGTAGCCCAGGCTGGCCTTGAACTAGTGATGATCTGTCTCAGTCTTCTGATTGCTGGAATTATAGATGTGCACCACCTTACTTGGCTCAAAAGAAGCAACAAAATAAAAATGATATCTTATTCTGTCATGCTTTTTGTCTTCTCCCGTAATTAAATCCCAGACAGG